ACAATCCCTCCACCTTGTTTCCCCAAATGCTCCGGATTACGACACCCCCACACCACCATACCTGGCCCCATATGAAAGCTATTCTGCTAAGACTCTCACCTTTAACTCTGACCAATCGGTAGTGATCAGTGACAATGAACGATATGATTTTCCTTTCTTGTCCATAGGCCTCCAATCCCGTCAGCCTCCCCTCAGCAACAGCTCTAACCCTATACATCCAGCGCTATCCTACCTCAGGACCTCTTGTAGCAGTTGCTCTTCTTCACCCGACACCTGGCATCAATCAACTTCCATCAACTAACCTGCCCTCCTCCTCTCAGCCTTTCACTTACAAGATTTTCCTTTCTCTTATCACTTGCCAGTCCCCTCAGGGTTTGGAAACGGCCAACGGCGCACCAGCATTCGCCTTGCAACCAGCAGCTGAGCACACTGTGGCAACATCACGCAACCCTGTCTCTACCTCTACACACCAAAAACACACAAAAACACAATTACTCCTGCGGCATCCCGCTGGCTCGCACTACTTTGTAAATCCCATTACCAGGAGGCGAGGCAGGGGACTCACTTAAACCCAGCGAGTTCCCACACGCGCTCGCAGCTCACGCTGGTGACTCCCATGCCACTCCACTGCCAGCTCTGGACAACAGACCCAAGAACACTTGTCCCTCAAAAAATCTTTAAAAAGGCCGCGACCGTCGTGGCTCACGCTGTAGATCTCCAGCACTTTCGGACGCTCGAAGGGCAGGCAGATCACGAGAGCAAGAATCTCCCGACGACCATGCGCGACGAGAGCGACGAGCTGCAAACCCCCGCTACTAAAAATACCAACAAATTCTGCGGCCCTCGCATGGCAGGTGCCTGATCAGTCCACTACTCGGGAGACTGCGAAGCAGGACTAATTGGTGCTGACACTGAAGCGCAGAGCCTGCAGTCGCACCCGAGATGGCAGGCACTCGCACCTCAGCCGCGACAACCAGAGCGACGCTCCGCCCGCTCTCTAAAAAATACCCAAAATCCACACACCACATCAAACCTACGCCCGCCGCACCCGCATGGCTCAATGCGCTAATTCCAGCACTTGGGAGGGCCCACGCACGGGCGAATCACGAGGTCCAGCAGATCGACGACCCACTCCCTCGGCTAACAGGTGGAAACCCCGTCCTACCCTTAAAAAACTAGCAAAAACTCAGCCAGGCGATGGGTACACTCACCTTTGATCCGCCACGGCTACTCGGCGAGCAGCTGAGGCAGGAGAATGCTACAACCGGCCGCGAGCGGAGCCTTCGCAGTGGAGGCGCGAGAGCGCCACGCACCTCCAGCCTGGACCCAGAGCCAGACTCGTCCAACAAAAAACAACACGAATACAAATAACCATAACTAAAAAACATTCTTACAAGAGTCTGTGGCCCACCTCTTGCAAGCCCTTGTCATCCGAATTAGGGCCCTATTGCCTTCCTCGTCTCTTTTTTTTTTTTTAATAGATGGCTATTCGTCTCTCTGTCAACCCCAGGCCTGGGAACCTGCAAAGATGGCAGGTCACCGGCCTCACTGCAGCCCCTCAACCCCTCGCGTCCAAGCAAGTCCTCTGCCCCAGCTTCCCTCGAGCAGCCTGGCGATCACAACGCATACACACCCATACCGCCCTGGCTAATATTCTCTACATTTTGCAGAAGACAGGGATCTCACTATGCTATGCGCCAGACTGGACTTGAACTTCTGCCCTCAGTGCCTCCCTGCTCTCAGCCCCAAACTGCTGGCAATTACAAGTCGTGAGTCACTGTCCCCAGCCGCGTTACGTCCTTCTCCAGACCCCTGCCTCATTCCTTTTCCATCTCTCTCACACAAAATAAGCAAACATAGAATTACCCATGTGACCCAGCAATTCCACTTCTAGGTATATACCCAAAAGAATTAAATATACCAATTCCACTTCCAGGTATGCACCCAAAACAAAAGGAGGGTCTCAAAGAGATCCTGTGCTCATAGCAGTATTATTCATAATTGCTAAAATGTGGAGAAACTCACATATCCATCAATGGAAGAATGGATAAGCAAAATGAGGTCTATCCTTTCAATGGAATATTATTCAGCCCTGAAAAGGAAGGCAGTTCTGACACAAGCTACAGTGAGAATGAAGCTTGAGGACATTATGCTGAGTAAATGAAGCCAGTCACAAAATAATAGGCGTACTACGAGTAGTCAAACTCATGACGACACCAGAAAAGTAGACTGGTGACTGGCTGGGAAAAAGGGGTACTGGGGGTTATTGTTTATCGGATTCCAGAGTTTCGTTTTACAAGAGAAAAGGCGTTCAGGAGATGGATGTTGTGAACGGTACCCTTAACAATGGCCAATTTTGCTGGGTGTGGTGGTGCAATTATGCCTGTAATCCCAGCACTTTAAGAGGCCAAGGCGGGGAGAGGGGGAATCGCTTAAGCCCAGGAGTTCAAGTAGAATGGTAAAATTCCACTTATATGAGGTACTTAGAGTCATCAAAATTGTAGAGACAAGTAGAATGAGGGATGGGGGAATGAGGAGTCAGTGTTGAACCAGTACAGTTTAATTTGCGGAAGATGAAAAAGTTCTGGACGGGGGTGACAGTTGCACAACAATGCGAATGTACCGAAGTGTATGCTTTAAAATGCTTTAAAATGGTTAAAATAAGTAAAATGGTCAGTTTTCCAGCCTGGACAACATGGTGAAACCCCATCTCAACAAAAAAATAGAAAAATTAGCCAAGCATAGTAGCACATGCCTGTAGTCCCAGCTACCCTGGAGGCTGAGGTAGGAGAATTACCTGAGCCCAGGGAGGTCGAGGCTGCAGTGAGCTATGATCACCCCACTGCACTCCACCCTGGGTGACACAGTGAGACCTGTCTCCAAAAAAAAAAAAAAAATCAATTTTACATTATGTGTCTTACCACAATTTGTTAAAAAAAAAAAAAAGAAAAGGAAAGAAAGAAAAATCTGAAGTTCCCCTTCATTAAGCAGCCTGCTAGTCTGATGATCCTAGTAAATCCTGGTGGTGACATTTCAAGGTACATTCTGCGATTGCCCTCAGTTTTCAGTTTTCAGGTGAGAAAGCCAAGAGAGGTGACATGAGCAGCCTGAGGTCACCCAGCAAGTGGCAGGGCCAGGATTCCACCCAGGACCGCTGACATCACCCAGCCACAGAGGGAGTGGCCCCCTTCCCTGATGGCTCCCCCAAAATCCCACTCAGATTCTCCTGCCAGGGGCCAGCAAACAGGATCCAGATGGCGGTTCCCCAGTTAGGACAGGGCCTAACTTGAAAGTCCTCTGCCAGGATTTCCAAATGCATCCCAGATTTCTGTCCCAGAAGCGTCTGGTGCCCTCCTGCTGGGCAGTGGGGAACCGAGGAGCAGCCAGGCCTGGCCATAGGCCTGGGCAATGACTGGGGCTGGCAGGGCTTGGCACTGACCTCTGGTCCATCTCCTCAGAGCCCCGGGGGGATCCTGCCGGCCCTAGGAGGCCCAGTTTGCTCTGACGGTGGATTTGTCTTATTCCCACCTCTGTAACAAAGCCCCACAACCTGCCTGGCTTAAACAACAGACACTTACTGTCTCGCTATTTTAGTGCTGGAAGTCTGAAATCAAAGTGTGGGCAGGGCTGGTTCCTTCTGAGGCTGAGAGGGAGAGTCTGTTCCAGGCCCCTCTCCCGGCTTCGGGTAGCCTCCAGCATTCTTTGGCTTGTTGGCGGCCATCTTCTGTGTCTTCACATCATCTGCCTCTGTGTGCGTCTGTCTCTGTGTCCCATTTCCCCTTTATATAAAGACACAGCCACATTGGATTAGGGCCTACCCACGTGACCTCATCTCAACATATCATCTGCAGACACCCCATGTCCAAAGAAGGTCCCATTCACAGATCCTAGGGGTTAGGACTTCAACATCTTTTGGGGGTGTTGGGGGGGACATAATTCAAACCATAACACCATCCCCCAGTGCTGTTACTCTTCTCAGCTGCCCAGGAGGCCAGTGGGGAACATTCTGGGGATTGGAGATGTTTGCAAACTGAAATGGCATTTCACATACTCTCTACGGTTTTATGAATTGTTAACTGTTGCCACCACATACTGAGTGCTTCCTTGCTGTGTGCCAGGCACTCGACATAACTCCCCAGTCTCAGGGCAGGGTGGCTGGTGTCATCCCCGTTTACAGTTGAAGCCATTGAGACTCACCTGGGAGGGGTCAGTCACTCACGAGTCCACGGCTGATTTTGCTCATCTGTGGGGATTCATCCACCAACCTGTCTGAGCAGAAGGCCTGAGGTTTCTGTAACTCCTCCTATTCGCGAACACAATTCCCATCCGCTTCTTGTATTCCTTCCTTTTTGATTCTCAAACAACTTGAAGTTGAGAGGAATTAAGTGCAAATAGATTGCAGTTGGAGTAAAAGACGAGTGCGCTGGAATTCAGGCAAAGGAAAATGGTTGTGTGATGGGAAGGCCTTCCTCCTTTTCTTTTTCAACATTCAAACCAGAAACTTCAGAGTTTTAGTGAGGTGAGAAAGGGCCAGGGTGAGGGTGGTTATGCCTGTTAATCCCAACACTTTGCAGAGGCCAAGGTGGTGAGGATCTCCTTGAGGCATGAGGTTCGAGACCGCCGGGGCAACATACCAAATGGGACCTTCATCTCTACAAAAACGAGATTTTAAAAAATTAGGCATGGTGGCACATGCCTATGGTCCCAGCTACCCAGGGAGTTGAGCAGCGAGAGATTGCTGAGCCCCAGCAGACAGGACTGAGTGAGCTATGATCATGCTGCCTACACTCCAGCTGGGAGACAGAGCAAGACTTTGTCTCTAAAAAAAATATATATATATATGTGTGTGTGTGTATATATATATATTTAAAGGTGAGAAAAACATGTTCCCCAAGATTATGAGGAAGGAAGATGGGAAGAGGTGGAAAGTGAAGAGTAAGGTTCAGGATCATCTGACCCTTAATGCCCTCCCACCCTCAGAAACGCTGACATTCTAGTTGGGCATGTTCGCGTGTGCTGTAGTCCCAGCTACTCAGGAGGCTGAGGCAGGAGGAATCGCC